GGTTACAACCATTTCATTTAAGATTACGGATTTCGGAATGTGCAAGGAGAATATTACTGGCAATGCGACGACGAAAACTTTTTGTGGCACACCTGACTATATTGCGCCAGAGGTGATAATCACAAGGTCTTCTGATAATTGTGGTTAGAAGTTATATTTGATAGATAATCCTTTATCAACCCTATGGGAAATCGGTTGATTGGTGGGCATATGGAGTGTTACTTTTTGAAATGTTGGCGGGTCAACCGCCATTCGATGGAGAAGATGAGGATGAGCTTTTTACAGGTTAGTCTTATCTTCAGCTCTTCCGGAGGGTTTATAAAGAACATGGTTAAATATGTAAACAGCATAGTGCAGGCATTGATCGAATATTTATCCTAACCGGTGACAGACAACTCGAGATCTTTCTTTCCAGCTATTACTGAACATAATGTCTCCTATCCTAAAAGCATGTCGAAAGAAGCAGTGTCGATATGCAAAGCCTTGTTGGTAAAGAATCCTTTAAAGCGACTTGGTTGTTCACCAAATGATGCTATTGCTGAAGCAGATATCAAGGTCGGTTTATCTCTACATCTACTTGTTCATCAAACTATTGTTCCTATTGTTTTGTGATTAAAGGATGAACTTGCTTCATAGCTAAACTGAATTTATCCGTTGGCTAATTCATTAATCATTAGAAATCTGCAAACATTCATGCCTTTCAATCAAGGCATTTCATTAAGATCTCTAAACCCTTTTATCCAAGTTTTGTTATTTCAGGAGCATCCATTTTTCCGACGAATTGATTGGTATAAGCTTTCAACACGACAAATACAGCCTCCCTTCAAGCCTAAAATTGTGGGTTGTAATGATTAGATGTGTTACTCTCATTGAGCCTCACATAGACTCGAAAACGTCCTGGCAACTTAATGGGATCTCTAAAAGAATAATATCATTTGAAGGTACAAATATTAGTAATATATGCAACTAAACGAGATCAAAATAATAGAGTTTTCCTTTTGAAAATTTAGTTTTACGGCAAAAGGAGAAGAGGAGCAAGAGAAATCAAAGGCGATGGGGGGATTATATGAAATATTTTTTTTTTCAAAAGGAAAAGTTCTAGCTGCACATGCTTATCAACATTTGGCTAAACATGACGCAAAACATGACCACTTGCTAAATTTGACCACAGATTGCTTTATCCATAGTCTTAAGGAGATAAGCGAGATATACATATAATTATAATGTCTTAAATAGC